GGGGGGCGCGCGGAGCGCAGCGCGAGCCCAGGCCGCGCGCAGCCGCCGGGGGCCGCCCCCTAGACGTCACTTCCTGGCTAGGTCCCGCCCCCTTCCCCAGGGTACGCGGCGTCAGCCTCCGCTGAGCTTGACGTCGCTCTCGGCTCTGGTTGTTATTGGCCGTCAGCTGGTTCTGTGGCCTCCTTGGTCTCCGGCACCGACCCCTGCCTTTTCACTTCCTGGGCGCCCAGGCCCTGTCCACCCCTCCCTGTGGAGCGGGGCAGGCCTTGGGACCTGAGGCTGCACCTGGGAGAGGGTCGCCGCCCTTGGCACTGTCTGTGGGTCTGGTCCCCTCTATGCTGCTTGGGGTGTGTGGCCTTGGCCAAGTCATTTCATTAACTCTGTATCCTCTTTCCTGGCATCCGACGAATTATGGAATGACTATATGAAAATGTGTTCTAGATCCGGCGGTGTGCTGTTCCGTGATAAACAACTGGTTTTTTGGGGGGAAGAAAGGGTGTGTATATAGTTACATAATTTTACCATCTCTTTGAGATACAGGATATGTAGTACACAATTTCCAAGAAATAATAAAAGTATGCAAAAGCCTGTCCTGTATGACTGATTGCCAAATGCATGCTTCTGCTGGTTGTCACGGTGTGTGTGTCATGTTGATAGAAGCCTAAGTGAGCCATGTGCTAAGTAAGCATCAATTCAACCACCAGAGCTCATTCCCAGCCCTTCCCAAACTGCTTACAAGTGACCAAGGAGTGTAACTGTAACAAAAATTTTTACTGATATTGTCCTCCATTGATGCAAGAGGACAGAGAAAAAAACGAAGACAAACGATCAAATTGTCAACAATGGGGACAACTTTGCTGAGTCAGAACTGGTTTCAATGACTAGAAGGGTTTCTTCAACTTTTTGTGTTATTCCTAATGTAACACCTACATATGTACAGGAGGCATAAATCAGAAGCACTCTCCATCACTTAAAAAAAATGTGTGTGTGTGCGCCCGGAACAGAGCATCAGATCCCCTAGAGCTGTAATATTTCTGGGAACTGAATTCCAGTCCTCTGCAAGAGCAGAACATGCTGTGAACTATCTCTCCAGCTTCCTCCATCACTTTTTTTTTTTTTTTTTTTTTTTTTTTGAGACAGGGTTTCTCTGTGTAGCCCTGGCTATTCTGGAACTTCCTCTGTAGACTCACAGAGATCCACCTGCCTCTGCCTCCCGAGGATTAAAGATGTGTGCCACATCACCCAGCTCTTCCAACACTTCTTAAGTCAAGGTGACAAGCAAACAACAAATCAAGCGCCGGTTGGTAGCGCTTGCTCAGTGGCTAATATCCACCCTCTCTTACTAAACTCAGGAAGACGTGAGCTTTAATGTACCATCCTTCATGTGGTAGTTTCATTACATACAGTGGGCTGAAATAATCCCAAGAGCACAGGTAAAATTGTGTGTTTGGGGCTACCAAGGTGGCTCAATGGATTGAGGCACTTGTTACCAAGCCTGAGTTCTATCCCTGGGACTCATATGGTGGGAAGAAGACACCACCTCCTGAAAGTCGTCCTCTAAACCTCCATATACATGCCATGGCACATGCAGACACACAGACCACACAAAATAAATAATAAAAATTACAAGTTTTGAGAATATAGTACCTTCTCTTTTTGTTGTTTCTTTTTTTGTTTATTTGTTTGTTTGTTTTTTTGTTTTTTGTTTTTTTTGTTTTTTGTTTTTTTGTTTTTGTTTTTGTTTTTTTGAGACAGAGTCTCTCTACATAGCCTGGCTGTCCTGGAACTCACTATGTCCACCAGGCTGGCCTGGAACTCAGAGATCCTCCTGCCTCTGCCTCCTGAGTGCTGGAATTAAACATTTGCACCACCACTACCTGGCTATGTGTAGTGGTATTTGCTCTGCCCATGACCTTGGGCTATATGGGCTATAGGGCCTGAAGGAGGTGGTACTTCTTGCCATTGCATGTGACCTCTTAAAAGGAAAGGGAGATATATGCGTGGTGATATTGTGTTCCCCAAAATATTGTGCACCCTAATAAATTTATCTGGGGTTAGAGAACAGAACAGCCACTAGATACAGAGGCCAGAAAATGGTGACACACACACCTTTAATCCTAGCTTTCCGAAGGCATGGATCTCTGAGTTCAAAGCCACACTGGAAAAAGCCAGGCATGGTGACTCACACCTGTAATCCCAGGAAGTGATGGCAGGAAGCAGAAAGGTATAAAAGATGTGAAAACCAGCAACTATTGCTGATTAAGCTTTTAGGCTTTTGAGTAGCAGTTCAGCTGAGATTCATTCAGGATGAGGACTGAGAGGCTTCCAGTCTCAGGAAACAGGATCAGCTGAGGATTTGGCGAGGTGAGGCTGTGGCTTATTCTGCTTCTCTGATCTTCCAGTATTCACCCCAATACCTTTTAAGATTAATGTGTAAGTTTCTATACATATATATATATATAACATATACATAGATCTCATATATAACATGATATATACATAATATTATATGTGTCTACATACATACACACATACACATATATTGCTAGGGATTGAACCCAGGGCCTTGTGCACGACAAATACTCTACCTTTAAGCTCTACATCCAGTCTTATAAGTTCATACAATTTAAATTTTTTGTGTGTATTTTTGTTTTTCGAGAGAGGGTTTCTCTGTGTAGTTTTGGTGCCTGTCCTGGATCTTGCTCTGTAGGCCAGGCTGGCCTCAAACTCACAGAGATCCGCCTGTCTCTGCCTCCCGAATGCTGGGATTAAAGGCGTGTGCCACCACTGCCCAGCTTACAACCTAATTTTGAATAGTAACTATGATTTGGTTGTGTTTTTTAAGTGTATATGGGTGTTTCTCTTGCACAGATTGTCTGTGTGCCACATGCCCGCCTTGTGCTCTCAGGATCCAGAAAAGGGTGTCAGATCATATGGGACTAGAATTACAGACAGTTGTGACTACCACGTGGGTGCTAGGAACAGAACCCAGGTCCCTCGGAAGAGCAACCAGCACTCTTAACCACTGAGCCATCTCTCCAGCCCAGCAACTATGTTTAACAATACTTGATCTTAGTCAGAAGGCCAAGAGGTTATTATGTCTAATAACTGGCTTACAAAATCCCAGAAACTGCCAGGTGGCGGTGGCACACGCCTTTTATCCCAGCACTTGGGGGCAGAGGCAGGCAGATCTCTGTGAGTTCGAGGCCAGCCTGGACGACAAAATAGGGACAGTCAGAGCTGTTAACATAGAGAAACCCTGTCAAAAAAAAAATCCCTAAACTTGAACAACTGAATTTCAGAGGCTGCCATAAGTGTGCCCCCAGCACCACCAGACCTCACTTCTACGTCTGAAAAAGGCAGGCAAGCACTGTAGCTTTGCTTATTTGGCAAGGATGTTGTGAGGAACAAATAACACCAAGTTAATGAGACCGAGTTTGTGTGGAGGAGTCACTGGAGGTGGAAAGACAGACAGGAACCCACTGCAATTGTTCCTGTGGGAGATGTTGAGGTTCCGAGTGGATAAGGAGGAAGGGGCAGCTAGCAGAAGTTAGCAGTTTTAGGATCAGAAGGAGCTTTGAGGGGAAGATTAAGGAACCACTGTGTTGTGAGCTTGGTATACGCACCAACAAAAATTAGGTACTTTTGTATGTTTGTGCATGTGGGTGTGAGTGGGTGTAGAGGACAGGGGTTGATGTTGAGCTCTCATAAGTATACGGACTTGAATTCGGATCCCTAGCACAGTATAAAAGCCAGGCAGAGCAGTGTTTGCCAGCACCCGGAGCAGAGCAGTGTGTGCCTGCCTGTGATGCCAGCCCTGGGGGTGGAGTGAATCCCTGACGCTCACTGACCAGCCAACCTAGCCACTCTACCATCCATTCTCAGAATGGAAGTTAGCTCACAGCCTGGATGATAAAGATTTATTTATATCTGTCTGTCTGCATGCATGCATGTCTGCACACCAAAAGACACACATCAGATCCCATTATAGATGGTTGTGAGCTGCCATGTGGGTACCGGGAATTGAACTCAGAACCTCTGGAAGAGCAGCCCAGGCTCTTAACCACTGAATCATCTCTCCAAACCTGTTGAGTCCTGCTCAACCTGTTGAACGGTTCTGAAGCGGGGAGTGTGGAATTGGGAAATGCTAGCTATGAAATATAGACGTAGCTGGGTGGTAGTGGCGCACGCCTTTAATCCCAGCATTCGGGAGGCAGAGCCAGGCAGATGTCTGTGAGTTCAAGGCCAGCCTGATCTACAAAATGAATTCCAGGAAAGGTGCAAAGCTACACAGAGAATTTCTGTCTCAAAAGAAAGAAAGAGCCGGGCGGTGGTGGCGCACGCCTTTAATCCCAGCACTCGGGAGGCAGAGCCAGGCGGATCTCTGTGAGTTCGAGGCCAGCCTGGGCTACCAAGTGAGCTCCAGGAAAGGCGCAAAGCTACGCAGAGAAACCCTGTCTCGAAAAACCAAAAAAAAAAAAAAAAAAAAAAAAAAAAAAAAGAAAGAAAGAAAGAAAGAAGAGAAAAGAAATATAGATGTAGAAGAAGAAAAAAGAGACACAGGTTAGCTTTGGGAGGTTTCTGGGTTAATACTGCAGACACAAGTTTTTTTTTACTCAGAGCCTTTATCTACCCAAAGCAAGGGGGGGCAAAAAGACCTCCCCCTTTGAAGGACCTCATGGTTCAAGATACAAAGTACAGTCA